TCTCAGAATAATATAGATGCTCTTATGGAGATATTTTCAGCTCCTCACACAGCAAGGCATTACATTTCCTCTGCAAGGAAACGGCATTTGACAATTCTGTGAGCAACTGCAAAATTGGGAGTCACCTTTAAACTCACATTTTAACAAGTACATTGAGAAAGGAAAAAAGCAACTGGAGAGGGGTCAATTTTTTTTTAAAAATCATTGGCACATCATTAGCATTTAATACCTCTGTAAAGTAATGAATGCTAAAGTTGGAGCATTTAACACAGAGGGCGTTTTCACACAGGGCTTTAGGCGGACGCAATCCTACCTCCGTCCGGCCCCACTCCAGCTCCATTTCCAGTGTGTTCACACTCATGCCGCAGCAAACCCCGCCCCTTCCGGTGCCATCCCTGCGTCAGTCCGGCTCCTTGCTCCGTGTGTTCAAACACACGGAGCAGTAAGTCCGGCCTCACTCTGGCCGAAGCAGCGCTAACTCCGGCATCAGTGCCGGAAAGGTAATTCCTTTTTTAAAAAGGAATTAAGTTTTTGCCGCCGGAGCCATTCCGGAATGAGCGGCTCCAGGCGGCTTTAGGGACTAGTGTGAAAACGTCCAAAGGAATTACTCTCCTAATTCTCTATTCCCTGCTCCCCCTGTTGTAGAATACCTGGGACTTGAGCACAACTCCTTGAGACAAGGGAAAGTATGGATGGTTCGACGCCTCTCTCTCTTTTCTCGGCGGACACGCAGCTGATCAAGGCTCTGCAATTCTTCCACCTGCTTCTGTAGCTCATCTACTTGGTTCTGGAGTCCTTCAATGGTTTCTGTCAGGCTGTAAATCCAGAGGGGAAGTGGAGAGGAAGAAAATAAGACAGAAAGAATGATAGATTTTCTTTACACTGAGGTTCAGGTTAACTGAGAGTCAGTGTGGTGTAGTGGTTTGAGTGTTGGACTACTACACTGGGAGACCAGGGTTTGAATCCCTGCTTGGCCATGGAAGCCTACTGGGTGACCTTAGATAAGTCACACCATCTCACCCTCAGAGGAAGACAAGGACAAACCCTCTCTGAACAGATTCTGCCAAGAAAATCCCATTATAGGTTTGCTTTAGGGTTACCATATGTCAGAAATGACTTGACAGCAAACAACAACAAACAGATTAACTGTTATTGCATATAAACTATGGCATAAAATAGCAACCACCTTGCAATTTTTTTGGGAGGGGGGACACTAACACTGCAATTTCTGGAATCCCTCGCCTAATATGTCCATAGTCTATCTATGCTGACTAGGAAATTTGGGAAAGTGTAGTTCAAAAAAGTAACTTTCCCAATCCTTCTCTTTCTATTGAGTCTTGTAATAGTTTGAGTCTAATTCTTGGCCTCCTGTTTTGCCAAATAAAATTATTCATATCTTTATGCCAAGTTTTAAAGAAGCCATACATCTGCCTCTCCCAAGGTGTAATTATCAGGAACTCCTGGCCTGGAGAATGGCTGCATATACCATTAAACTGAACTGTATTCAGATGTCCTCACATTTTTGGCCTATAAACTGCATTCTTATCTTAATTCTCATTCACACAGAGGCAAAAATATCAGCATTGAGTGCTCATTCAGATATGCTGAAAATCTAGCTTTCACCATCCTGCATAACATAACCCTGGAAATATGTTATTGGTGGGAGCATGTTCATGCTATTCTCTAGGATAACTATGAAGCAACATGTTGAAATATCTCTCCAGAAGATGATGCGGTGATTCCCAAAGTGGGCAGTACTGCCCACAGGGGTGGTGAGGGAAAAGGGAAAGACATGGGGGTCGTCTGTCAAAATACTGGCATGTAAGAAATACAAGAGAAACCAGTGGCCTTTAAGATCATGGTGAGGATGAGGGTGGCATTAACTTTTTCTTTTCAAGGTCCCTTAAAACCAGTGCTCAGCCTTGTTGATCGCTATGTGTGGTGGTGTCTCTTGCTTTTCGCCTGCCTGTGTGAGCTGAGGGCCTTTGCAGACTGCCAGAAATAGTGCAAATTGACTCCACTTTAACTGTCCTGGCTCAGTGCTAGGGAATCATGGGAATTGTATTTTTTTCTGAGACATTGAGCCTTCTCTGTCAGAGAGCTCTGGTGCCACAATAAACTACAGTTCCCATGATTCCCTAGCACTGAGTCTGGGCAGTTAAAGTGGACTCAATTTGCACTATTTCTGGCAATCTGCAAAGGCCCTTCTTAACTGTGTCTTTTGCTAGGAGTGGTGATGATAGTTGGAAAACTCTTGTGAGGCTTGAGTGTAGGCATCTCCTTTATGGCTCAGAGCAGCACCATTTTGGGACAGACAGACTGGACTGAGGAGTTAGAGCATGTGGCAGTGGGGGAGAAGTGGCAGCAAGAGGGAACTTTCCAGTTTGGGACCTTACTTAAGCTTTGTGAGCTTTACCAAGACTTGGCTGGAAGGTTGGAGTTGCATTCCTGCTCCTGCTTTTTTTTTTTTGTCAGATAGGTCAAGAGAAGAGATAGCAGAAAAAATGTTTGTGTGTGTGTGTGTTGGGGGGGATGGCATGTCTCTGAGAGATGGCCCCTCTCCACCCCAACAAAGAATGATTGAGAGTCTTTCCTCACTGGTGAGAAAAGTGTGCCCCTTTCTGCCACAGCAAAAAAAAGTCTGAAAGTCCTTCCTCACCAGGAAGAAAAGTGGGAAGCTGTCTGTGCCCCTCTCTGCCTCAGAAAGGAATGACTAAGGGGCTATGCAGACTGGCCTAAAGGGCTGGCCTCGGGGTGGAGTTGGGGCAGGGCAGCTGCACGCTGGCCACCCCAACTCAACCCCGATGCCGTCCTGACACCATGCACCCATCTGCACAGCGTCAGGAAGCCCTCCTGGTGCAGTGCGTGTACACGCTGCACCAAAAGGGCGTGGAAGAGCCATGACGCCAGCTCTTAGGGTGGCTGGCCTTTTGCTGCTCTTTTGGGGGCAGCAAAAGGTAGGATTGGGGCTGTAGTGAAGAGTTCTTCCTGACTGGGGAGAAGCTTCTCCCTTTGTACTCCATCACTTTGGGAGCAGTGATTGAGCAGCAGGTTAGCTGGCCTTCCTTTTGCTGGAAGGCCAGCCCAGGCACAACGGAGAAACAGTCCTGGGCCACTGCTGCTGCTGTATTTGCACATGAGAGGTAGAAGAAATGGCAAGCTGGGCATGTTTGAGGTAGATGCACAAAGTGGGGACTGCAGTGGTCAGGTGGCAGTCCCCTGTTTTCTCCATCCTGGGAGGTGCTGGAGGGCACTAGGATTGGCACCCAAGAGGAAAAGGGATATTAGTTCAAAAGGTTTGGGGACCACTGCAGTTTTAAAGATGCCAGTGCCAAGTGCAGGATGGACCAATCTTCCACTCAAATGTTTATCTGCCTGTCTGTACCCATTCACCCTAGTTAGGCAACTAGCTGACAAAACTTAAATTCAAAACTCTTCTTCCAACAGAGGAAGAAAAATGATTTCTCTGTTTGAGTACAGATCTTGCATTCCGCCCATTGTTCTGCACGTCATACCCAGTAGACATTATGGATACAGAATCACTGTCTCAGTTGTTCTTTGAAGCCAAATATCTCAGACTCAACTTTGAATGACTTTCCCCCCTCAATTCTTGGGAATTTGTCAGAGATGCAACCTCTATCATCCTCCTTTCCAAACAACCAAGGCAGACTTGTGTTCAAAATACAGGTCTGCTACTATCCTGTCAGGAATGTGGAGACACAGTCTAATAATCTTTAGCTTCTTGGCTTGGGGTGGAATTTTTAAAAATACAGGTTTATGATTGCAGCCTAACTGATGACTTCAGGCTACAGTCACACAGTTTTTCTTTCCACTGTTCTTTTCCACAGAGATCTATACAGAACTGCATTCTGAGTTGACAGTATGCTATTTCAATTTAGAAATCAGAGTGGTGTGAAACATTACCATTGTATCTTCTGCTGAGATGTTTTACTCTCTAACACGAGCTTCTGATTGGCCAGTTCAAGATCCCGGGCTGTCATATCCAACTGCTCATAGACTTTAGCATGCTGTTCATTCATATGCCGTAACATTTCCAGCTGTTTTGTCAAATACTGAAAAAAAGAGAGGAAACAATAAGAATCCCGCCAAACTCTAGGAATACAATGCATCAAGGCCATTTTTGATCATATTTGGTTAAAAAAATGGAAGAGATGAATCAATCAAAGTTTCTGATCAATTAAGTATATGTCTCTGATTATCTAGGGAACACATTTTTTAAATGTACAGTCAGCCCAGCAAAACTGCAGGCTGTATATCTGAGCATCCGCTGGTGGTTCTGCCCCATTCATGCCAATGGTGGTGCATGCATGTGGCCAGACCGCCGTGGCCATGCACATGCCGAACTGCCATTAAATCAAATGGAACTTAAAATCCTGCAATTTTTGGAATCCGCAGAGAGGTCTGGAATGGAACCCCCTGCGGATAAGAAGGGCCAAATGTCTTTTCTTTCTTTTTCTGGTATGAATAGTTAAAGAAGTTATAGAAACTTAGATGGCAGCTGCAGTCTTAGAAAATAAATCCACCTGTCTTTCTGTCATGCAAAAAACCCTTTCTAAGATGGTAATCCACATACATATGCATAGTACATTCAAAGTAAAGTGTTTTTCCCATGCAAAAATGTTCACATGAATCTATGTAGGTTCTTAAACAAACTACAGTCACCCTCTTTTTTTTGTGGGGGATCCATTCTGGACCCCCCCCCCTGTGAAAACAAGCTATCACACATATTCAAGCCCCATAGGCTTGAATGGGGGCATGCTCCTGTGCATGGCCATGTTTGCCATTATAAGCTTCCCCTCTTGCCGGTCTGTGTAAAGCGTGGACTGTGGACTTCCAGTCCGCGAAAACAGAGGGACAACTGTATTAACCAATTAATAAATTAAAACAGATACAACTAATTGCCTGAGATATATTTAACTGGGTGACAATCTTAATTTGCTTATTATTGTTTCTAACATGAGTATAGGACCCATCTGAAAGCCAGTGTGGTGTCGTGGTTTGAGCACTGAATTATAACTGGAGACCAGGGTTCGAATCCCTGCTTAGCTATGGAAACCCAGTGAGTAACCTTGTGCAAGTCACACACTCTCTGCCTCAGAGGGAGTCAAGACAAACCCCCTCTGAACAAATTTTGGCAAGAAAACCCTGGGATAGGTTCACCATAAGTTGGAAATTACACAAACAGGGCCTATCCATTTGCTCTCTGAGTCAATTTTGAATATATTCACTAATAAGTCTGTTCTAGTCAATTCCCATAAAAATGTATGGGGTTTTATTTTAAAAATCTATGCAAAAATTGTAAAAAAAACAACCCCAAACTCTCATGATGTAAAAAAATTGTAAAAAAACCCCAAACTCTCATGGATTTCTAAATGTGTTTTATTCAAAAATACATATAGTAGACAAAAACTACATTGCAAAATCTGAACAATAACTGCATTCTGATTTCCACATTAGTCTGTGACCTCCTGGTCATTTCTGCAGCCTTCCAAGTGTTTCCCTAACCTGCCAAACCCCTGAACCCACTTAGAATTACCAGAATGAAAACTGGAAGGGGCATATGTACCTTTAATGGTTGCATGGAAGAGGGGATTTTAGAAGGTGTCACATGTTATGTGGTGGTGTGGCAAGTAACCCTTGCTGAAATTCCCTTTTCTCCTCCACCATTAAAAAGACAAGAGCCTTCTCTAGCTTTCATTCTGGCAACCCTTCATTTTAAAATTTCATCTTTTCACCTCCAAATATATATACTGCTTTTGGAGGTTCTACCAGTGATTTATTAACTGCTCACAACCTTCTTCAAAGTGCACAAATGACCACAAACCTGGTGTGGAAGGTCACAACTAGAAATTATTTCTATTTGTAAGTCTTGGCTGATTTTATCGGCTACTGTGGCATGACCTGGTGCGGAGATAAAAACTGATCTCTTTATGCAGTACAGCTGCCCAACCTTATATTACAACTAACATGTTTCCAACCCAACCTCTTCTGCCATCATCATCATCATCATCATCATCATCATCATCATCTTCATCTTCTTCTTTTCAAGAGCCTCAAAATACAGTAATACTACTAAATGTACATTGTAGGGAAAACATGGTGACCTGAAAATAGGCATTTTGTTTTGTAGCTGACATTCCAGATTTGAAAGCCTAGCAAGAGACTCTTGCATAAGGGGAAAGTTTTATTTCCCTCAGTCCCTTCTTTTAAGGTCTTTTCATAAGCATTTCTAATACAGAAAACTCAAATTTTCTACTCAGAATAAAAAAAATTCCAGCCTTTACCTTTATTTTTTTTGTAGAACTTTAGACAAATTTGAGATTTAAAAATCCCCATTTTCTCACTGCAGTTCCCATCCCTCTTTGCCAAAATTGTTATTTTAAAAACAAAGCATGCTATTATTATTTTTTTAAAATCCTAGATTTTAAACTAATGATGGTGAGTAGTGCGGTGTGCCTGGAACAATTTCACCTCATTTCCACAACTCTGTTAGAAAATAATCTGGGGTTCAATGTAGCTCAAAGTGACCCTTATTAAAGCAGCTGCTCAAATGAAAACATATGGGGTGGGAGGATTTTCCTGTTGGGTACAACACTGTCTCATAAACTGCTGTGTGCTTGCAAGCCTTAATCCACCTCTGTTTCAGCCCCCTTCCATATGGACTTGTCCCCCCTTCCCCCTAATAACACAGCTCTGTGGCTGCAACTCCTACTGACTATACCACAGCCTTGAAATTATTGTGTAAAACAGGAGAATGTATTTTCACAGCTATGTTCAGTATTTGTCAGGAGCAAAAAAAAAAGAGGGTGATTTGGGTTACACCTAGGCATGTGCATCACCAGGGCTTGCCATTAAGTACCTCTATCTCTTGTACTTGCTCTTCATTGGTTGCATACATTTGTTGTAGAGAATCCTCCAGTTCTTTGTTGCGTTCTAGCAATGTCTTCCCCAGTTCGGCTGCTAAGTGCAAGTCTGGAAAAGGAAAAGACATAACCATGCACTGAGATAAGACAAGGGACAGGTAAGACAAGTATTTTGATCATTGACAGTCACTGGAACAGGGAGGAGTGAGCTTCGGACTTGGGAGCAATTCTTTTTCCCCAGGACCTGCTATGAGCCATGCTATCTCTATCTGCAAACCCCAAAGCAGTCATAAGCCCATGTCCATTGTATTAAAAAAAAACAACAAAAAACCACTTGTTGGAGCAAAGAAGGTAAGGGGGGCATGCACAGTACCTTGTTTTAAAGAAGAATCACTATGCTTAGAAACATATGACTCCTAGATAAAGATTCTCCTTTTTTTCAGTGAAATTCTCTCTCTCCCTCTCTCTGTCTCTGCTGCTCACACCTGAGATCATCTTCCTCCATTTCTTTAAAAGGGAGGAAATGTTCTATTGCTCTGACGTCTTTATTTGTTCAACTAATTTACAATTATTTATGATTTATTTAGCACTTGCACTCTAGGGCAACTTGTCCTAATTATCCATCTTAGTGGGAATTGGAAACAAGCAGTTGTGCCTCTGAACTGCTATTTTTTTTACTGTTTGCTACTCCCTCTAAAAGCCTGAAGAGCAGTATATAAATCCTATAACAGTAATGATAATAAGAGCACCAGTAGGCCTTCCAATATATTTTGCAACCATCACAAAAGATCACAAGAGAGATGTCCATGCCTTATCAGGGAAGAGAATCCAATGCAAAATAACAGCTTTACAATTTACCCTCTGAAACTAAGGTTCAAAGTATTAATCTGCCAAGTGCCAGTATTTTAGGGGAAGAACTTAGCAAAGTTACTTTTTGGATTACAACTCCCAGAGGGGAAAAAGCAAAACAAAACCAGAATCTCCCAGCCATCATAGTCAATGGCCCCGTGGGCTAGAAAATTCTGCAATTCAAAAAGTAACTTCTCAAGCTGTACTCAGAGATTTACGCATAAGTGGTTTTGAAGGTATGACAAGGACTTTAAAAGCACCAGCAGCTTTGAATCAATAAAGAAACTACTGCAGCTGTAAAACCAGATGAATATTCTGTCTTTTCTCAGTACCCATCAGGACCTTTTTGAATCTGCTGTACTTTTTGTTCATCTAAAAGATGATAATTTGCACGTCCTGTCAGTGATTAAAACATGACTGGCTGGGATGCAGAGAGGTCTTTCTCTGTGGTTACACCTAACTAGGCTATTGTAGCCTCCCAATTTTCTGCTGCATGGTAAAGATATATATCAGGGAAGATATATATATATATATATAAATTTTGACAAGCAATTAACTTGATAGGCTGAACTCCACTGAACTGAGCTTTTCTGAGGAAAAGCTATCTGCTGTGATTCCTTCTAGTTGTGATACATATTACTTTTTATGTTTTACAGTATTTAAATTAAATGGTTTTAAAATTGTAATTACAATGGAAAGGCAAGACACAAATGGTAAATCAACAATTGTTAATGCAATATAGGGGTGTGGAAGTACAACTCAACAGAGCCAGCATAGCATAGTGGTTTGAGGGTTGGACTATGACTCTGAAGACCAAGGTTTGATTCCCTGCTTGGCCATGAAACCAACTCGGTGACCCTGGGCAAGTCACATACTCTCGGCCTCGGGGAAGGCAATGGCAAATTTCCTCTGAAGGACTCTTGCCAAGAAAACCTATGATATGTTCACCTTAGCTTTGCTAATTCCAAAAGAAAATCAAAAGAAAGGGAATTCCAAAAGAAAATCAGCATGTGCTTTTATAGACTATAGCAAAGCCTTTGACTGCATAGATCATGAAAGGCTATGGAAGGCCCTTAAAGACATGGGAGTGCCATAATTCTTTCTGCCCAAATTTCCGAAGTGGTTTTCGTCCCACGAAGCTATTCAAAGAAAAGAAATGAAGAAAGAAATGAATTGGATCATTTATGATAATCTATTGAGGAAAACCTCAACAGATACTTATGAATTAAAATCCCTAAATGAACTAAACAAAGAAGGGTTTCAACTAGATTGGTTTCGATATAGACAGATTGTTGAATGCTATAAATCCGACCATAAAATACAGGGAATTGATTTAAAAACAAATGAATTTAGTAAAATTTGGTTGGGGAAAGAGCAAAAGGAGATGGGGAAATTTTATAAAATTCTATTGAGATGGGATCTCGAAGAGGATATAATAAAAAAGAACATGATTCGTTGGGCAAAAGACCTTGGACATCCAGTACAATTAGAAATGTGGGAATTGGCTTGGGGTAAGAGACTAAATTACACAGCTTCCCAAAATATTAAAGAAAACTTTTATACAACATTTTACAGATGGTATCTAACACCAATACAAATATCCAAAATCTATAAGAATGCAAATAACATCTGTTGGAAATGTGGGAGCGAACCAGGTTCATTATACCACTGTTTATGGTCATGTAAATTGGTGAAAGGTTATTGGAAAAAGGTGAATGAAATAATTAATTCTATGTTAAAGGTGAAAATTCAGATGCAACCTGAGACATATTTATTGAATATGTGGAAAAGAGAATGGGATAAAGTTTATGGGAAAATTCTTTTATATCTCATTACCACAGCTAGAATAGTTATGGTTCAAAAATGGAAATCAAAATATGTTCCAAATATTAGAGAATGGATATCGAAATTACATGATATAATCGAATTGGATAGGCTTACCAATTATTTAAAAAATAATTTGATTGAAAACATCAATGAAGAATGGACACAAATATTAAATTATATAAAAGACGAATGGGGGAATTTGGGAGTAATAGCTTTCTAAACTAAAGTAACAGATTCAATTAACACAATTTAAGGTATGGTTCAGACTGTAGTTAAAACTTAAAGTATGAAAATAATGTCATATATTACTTTTTTAAAAAAGCAAACATTTAGATAAAATCATTAACCACTTAAATGATAATTTTATTGTTAACTTTCAAGGGAAATGAAATAGGGTTACATGGTACAAAGATACAATAATTAGAGAAAAATCAATATACATGAACAAAATATCATAGAAGTTAGGGAAACACAAATGGTTCAAAATTAAATGAGCTGCAATACAAAGAA